TCGCAAGCAAGTCCGTCTCTAAGACGAATAATTGATCATGTGACGTTTTTATAACTCCGTTATTTTATTTCATGTTCTCTGATACCGATGATATTTTCCATCAGCTAAGGGCTAAGCATGGCCATCTAGCTACGATATGCCACAAATTTGTAATATCCATGATCATTCGTATTATTCTGCATGCAATGAAGATGAGGGCTTTAAAATAGTTTTAAATTCAGTTTTCTGTGACTTTCAGGTGATCCAAGTTCGTCTTCATTCGTTTTCGAATTAGGTCACGATAATGCTGTTTCTTTTGTGCCAAGTTTTGGGGTATGATTCTTGCGACGCAATTTTGCCGCTTGACGTATTCGGTGTTAGCCATAACTTATTTTATCATGAAGTTAATGATGGGGTGCTGCTCTCCATTTTCGTGTCATCAGCCGGGAGCGTTCTGTTTTAAAGGGAGAGTCAACAGTCGTTGGGCAATCGTAGCCTCCAGTCTCCTGTTTTTTTACATGCAGTGGTACTTCTTTATCAACCTCTGAAATAAGGAAGATAGGTGACTGACCCCATCTTCGTTCGAACCCGTGACCTTTTGGTTCTGAGTGCCAGGTTTTACTAACTGAACAACCCCGTTGAAGCATTCTGTTATGCTTGAAATGACAAAATATATCCTCAGCACTGTATTAAGCATCAGTTTTATGGATTACAACGAGCAGATTTTTTTATAACCCTTTCATATAGAATGGTTGTGAGCCGCTGTTAGGACCAATGTGGCCACGAAGTTTTGGTAATGAGAGGGCCATAGTCTGGTCTCCCTGGTGCCACACTCCAATGTATCGACCGAGCAGGGGTCGAATGTCAATCTGTAACTTATGGACGTCATGTATATCGATCATTATCGATGCTTGTTTAGTGCAAACGTTTGGATGTTTAAAATTCGTTTGCTTTAAATTAAGGTAACTACGAATATCGTTTCCCTGTATATGCTTGTATTCAACGAGAAATACATTTTGATAGCGATGCTAATGTGCGTGCTTCATGCGTGC